TGCTTGAATCTTTCACATAGGTACTACAAAGTAGAAGCTGCAGACTTCTGATTTAATGCATCTTTTCAACTGAGCAGCCATTTCAGATATAAACTTTAATTTTCATGGAACTTCAAATTAGAGGGAAACTTAAGAGATGCTATAAGCTAAATCTCTTTATTTTATAGATGAGAAAACTGAGGCCTGCTGCTGTGAAGTGACTTGCCCAGGGATAATACAGGTAGCTAGCAGTAGAGAAGACATTAGATCTTCCAATTACTACAACATCACCTTGCTTTTACCAGCCATCTAGGGTTTCTTTATGTAAACTGCAAGAAGTCTGGGCAAAACATGGATCCAAGATTTGAGAAGAGGCTAGGAGTTAGGCAAGTCAAAGACTCACAAATATCACCATTTAAATGATCAACAGAATTTGTCTTTCACCCATAGAGCATTAAAACTCTTCCTAATCAGTTAGGATCTCATGTTCTAGGGGATTTTGTAGCTAAATGGGCCATCATTTCTATACCACACTAACACCCTAGTTAACAGAAATGTAATGATTAGTCTGGCTTTTTCTCTCCACCCCCTCCTCATAATTTCAGCTGCTTTACTTTCCACTTTCAAGATCAAAATCTATCATAGGTTTTGGGACCAATATAGCCTTAAGCAGAGGGAAGTATAAGAATTCTAGGATCCATAGCAGGAGACAACTCAGCCTGAAATCTGCCTGATTGTTGGTCCTCCTCTGACCCTGTATCCCCATTCCAGGAACCAAGTTTTTGCCTTATTCCTTATGAACAAATTCCCTCCTTATAGCTTACTCATAGTAACTGGGTCTCAAATTAGTTTTCTAGCTCATCATAATGGTCCTGGGAACGATAATCTACTGAGAACTTTCCCTGAACTATAGCCTCAATGGCTTGGTCCTCTTCCAGACTTCTCTGTCACTGTGCTCCACCTGTTTGCTGTGACATTTTCCTATTATCCATTGCTAGAACTCCCTGAAATTGATCTATTACCTTCCTGGACCACTGATTACTGCCTGCTACCAGACTCCAATGCTGTGCTCCACCTCCTTATCTGGATACCACCTCATAGTGCCTACTTCTGGAACCTTTCCTGATCACCTTCCCTGTCCTTACAACTCTGTCTTAGTTTCCACATCTCATCTATTTTCTGTCTGATATATCCCAGATCTACCCAAGTCCAAGTTCTGGCAGGAGTATTCTCAGAGAATCACATAAACTCAACCACTTGCTCATGCAGTCTCAGAGTTGGAAGAAATTCCATTGACTCTTTGGCTCAACACACACCTGAAAAAAGAATTCTTCTACAATATGTTGGACATCCAGACTTGTTATTCAGACGTTGCTTGAAGACCTCCATCAAAGACGAACTCATTACCTCCTAAGGAAACTCATTCCACTTATAAGCAGCTCTAATTGTTAGAAAGTTTTTCCTTATGTTGAGCTTTAGTGTGGCTTCTGTATTACTTTGTTATGGGGCTTCTCCCATATGATGTGAATCCCAGGATCTCAGATTTGGAAGTGATATAAAAGGCCATCTGAGGACCTCTCTTTCCCCCCTACCCCCGCCATAACATCCTGACAAGTGGTCATTCAGCCTTTGCTTGAAAACCTCTGGGAACACTGGGGAGACCAACTTCTCTGTGGCACTATTACTTGAAGTTTCCCATCTCTGGGAGTAGGATGACGCTGTCTCCTTGAGGTATGGTACAGACACCATTAGACTCTGCACATCATAAGTCCCAGAAGCATTTATATAGGCTTTAAATTTTACAAGGTGCTTTTTGAACATATCTCATTTGATCCTCACAATAGCTCTGTGAGGTAGGTGCTATTATTATTATTATCCAATTTTAGAAATGCAAAAACTGAGGCACAGTAAGGTTAAGTGACTTGCCCAGGGTCCCACAGCCAGTAAGTATCTGTGGCAGAATTTGGATTCAGATATTCCTGACTCCAAGTTCTGTATTCTATGCAATGTGCCACCAGGCTGCCTAGTAGCCAAATACCTGAGACCTGATCTCTGGTGAATAATACGAGATATCCCAAAAGTCTTAGTGCAGCTTTAAGCATTACTAGCCATTTTAAGGATTATTACTAAAAAAGATTTGCTAGCAAGACTTTTTTAAGCTTTACTAGCTTAAAACTGTACTAAGACTTTGGGAGCCCCCTGTATTACCTTAACCAACAGCTTTTACCCAGAAGGACACTAAAGCTTTTCCATAACAGTACATATTTGTAAATTACTGATAAGTAAAATTTTCTGTTAATAGAGTTAGCCCATTTAGGTAGTGAAATTGCCCAGATCAAGCTGTGCATAAAATTTTTATATATACACACATAGTCTTGAGAATTATCTGCTTAGAGGCTGAAAGTTGAAGCCTTGGTAGTAGAAGCAGAAGATCAAGACCTTGGTTGTGGATAATGTCCATGTTCAGGGCACTCTTTCATAGAATTGCTTTGCATCTAAGAGCTAGCCCCAAATTTCTAGACAAATTTATGAAATATAGCACATTGAAAAGTGTGTTCACTGCCTTTTAGGGCAGAAGTTGTTATAATATATACTCCCTTGAGTATATATAACGCCTTGTATATAGTAGACTTTCAATAATTATTGATTGAATTAGAACATAGCAAAAGTACAATGTAGTACAGAGAACAGAGTGTTGAATTTGGAATCAGAAGACCCAGGCTGGAATGCTAGATCTGTTAGTTACTATCTATGTGACTCTGGGCAAGTGTCTTAACTTTCCTGTGCCTTTGTTTCTTCATCGATAAAATGAGGGTATTAGAGTAGATCACCTTTAAAGTCATACCCAGATCAAAATCTATGGTTCAACTACCTGCACAAATGATAAGAAGCCAGTGTTTTAGTTAGAAGCAGACTAAGCTAAGTTGTGGTGGCAGTGAATATTTAGTCCTTACTGCATATTTACACAACATTTATAATATGGGGAGATAAGAATTATTGTCTATATAAAGCAATTACCCCCAAAGCCCTGTAAGATCCTGAGACATCAAGGAAAGAAGGAACTATTATTTACTTACTAGGCCAGGAAAGTACAATAATATATTTTAGAAAGGTTTCCAATTGTAAGAATTGGTACAAAAAAGTGTTCTTGTTAAATGTAAATTACTCAAAATATTTAATTCACTGAAGTATCTCTTTCCCTCTTGAACTCTAGTTAATCTAGGCTTCATTGTACTCAATAAAGTAACTAGGTTTAAGATGCAGTAATTTAAAATGTAAATCTCAGGTTGCCTCTTAGCTCAATTACTCCTCCCACAGAAGGAGACTGACAGAGACAGATACAGGTAAAGGAGGGAGGGAAAGAGAGGGAGGGAGGGAGAGGAGAGAGAGAGAGAGAGAGAGAGAGAGAGAGAGAGAGAGAGAGAGAGAGAGAGAGAGAGAGAGAGCGCTCTTCATCTCCCTCTTACTGACCACTTCATCTCAGTAAGAAACTAGTAATCCATATAGGATCAATAGATATTCAAGGAAAGCCAGATTCAGGAAGAATGACTCCTTGTGGCAAATGAAAATGTCAGCTGTGAATTCAACAAAAGCACCAATCCCCAGAATCTGACAGAAAGCTACATGTAAGGGAAACTTCATGAAGGGAGAAAACAACTTCTACAACAAGAAGTTACAAATTACCCTTTTGTTGCATCTGTTCTTTAGACATGTTCCTCACTACATTTGTACCTTATTTGTTCTTATCCTTCCCTTAAGACCCTAAGTATATTTGTAGATGAATGTGCCCCAGGCTTTTGTGAGGAATATTTTTATATCTACTGTTCTTGCTAAAGTCTGGCTGATTATTAGTGGCAAGCATATGCGTGGGGTCCATGAGCCACAGTTCTAGAAACCCAGATCCTCAGGGTTACCCTGAAAACCCTAATTATAGTAGCAGCTGCCCTCTGGGGATTAGGCTGGCCAATCCAAGTGCAGGTAGGGAAAGTAGTCCTGGAGAGGATGTTACACTTTTATCCTGTGATCTCAAAAGCAAAAACAAAACACAACACAACAAAACAAACTAATAGAGGAATAAAGGAATAAGGAATTCATAAGAAATAAAAACAATAGTAATCAATCACTTAACTGTACCAGGCATTGTACTAGGTGCCAGAGATACAACGGCAAAAGTGAAAGCCCATCCCCCTAAGAGCTTATATACTACAAGGGGAGATCTCTCTCTCCCTCCCTCCCTCTCCCTCCCTCCCTCTCTCTCTCTCTCTCTCTCTCTCTCTCTCTCTCTCTCTCTCTCTCTCACACACACACACACACACACACACACACACACATATTTGTATATACAAATAAACACTCAAATTAAATACAAGGTAACTTGGGAGAACAAAGATATTTGTAGCTGGTGTAATCTGGAGAGGCTTCAAGTAAAAGGTGGCATTGGAGCTGAGCCTTAAAGAAAACAAGAGATTCCAAGAGAGAAAGGTAACAAAGAAGTGTTGGGGACAGCCAGCAGAAAGACACAGAGATGAGACATGGAGTTTCTTACAACAGTAAGGAAAACAATTTGGCTGTACTGTGCAGCAAGTGAAAAAGAGTAATAATAATAAGTCTGGAATGGTAGATTAGTATCAGGTTGTAAAAGGCTTTACATGCCAAACAAGAGTTCATATTTGATTCTAGAAGTAACAAGATCCATACCAGAGCTTATTGGGGGGGAGTACAGGGGTGTATTGGGGGAAGTGTTCTTACACTTAAGGAAAATTACTTTGGCATCTGTGTTGGAAGATGGTTTGGACAGGGGAGAGGCTTCAGGCAGGGAGACCAATTATAAGGCCATAGTTCAGATGAGAAGTGATGAGGACCTGAATTAGGGTGACAATTATGTGAGTAGAGTGAATAGAAGCAAAAGACATCAAGGAGGTAGAAACTATGAGATTTGGCAACTCCTAACACTATGATAATCATTTCAAAGCAGTTAAAATTTTTAATTTTATTCTTTATTCTAAGAATTTTTTTCTTACCTTGTGCCATTTCTGATGTCCACACTGTAAAGCACAACTACATTAATATTTCCAGGATGTCTTCTAATGGGATCAAAATTTTAGTTCTCATTATTCTGAAAAACAAATTTGGTTTAATAATCTGTTAGTAAATTTCTAAGAAAGAATCCATTTTTTGGATGACTCAAATGTACTGTTGTTTAAAGTTTTTCAACAGGAGATGTTTGTCATCTACCAAAAATAACACAAAAAGCAATAGAGAAAATATTGAGTAAGATGTTAACATTTGAAACGCATGCTCTACATTGCTGCTTGATCCATTCTAGGGTTCCTAGTACATGTCACAAAAGCAAGCAAGATTATATTCTTTATTTTAATAGTCACAGGCTGCTATTGCATTTGACATAAATGAGCACAGTGTAAAGCAATGGCTTACTTGGCTATTAGGGAGCAAGTCTTTACTGGCCTTATTTTTTACTGTTGTAGAAGGTGATAGCTGTGATAGACTGTGAATTTAACTCTGCACTTTTATGAGAGAAGACAATTCTTTCGACAATAATAATAAAGGGATTAGAGAATAACATATTGCAAATATATGAAACTTATGAGATCACTATTTGTCTATTAAAAATCAGGAAGCCATTATCAAAAGCTAACTTATTTTATTTGCTTCATACTTCTAGAGTATACCTTAGTTACTACAGTGAGGACAGGGCTTAGGAAGGTAATGTCTTGATGATAATTATTTTTTAAAATTCTGTTAAAGTCTTTTTTTTTTACCACCACAACAATTTTCCTATATACCTCCCCCACTCCAGTCCTCCCTTGTAACAAAGAAAAACAAATAAAAGAGACCAGTTCCACAGCTGTCAGTTCATATCTGCCACATGCAGCATACTAAGTATCTGGTCGCTGGATTTATTTTTGATTAATGTGCTTATTCTGAGTTCAGTTGCCTGTTGTTGTTGTTCTTATTGCCACTGTTGTAGTCATTGTATATGTTGTTTTCTTGTTTCTGCTTACTTTGTTCTGCATCAGTTCATACTAGTCTTCCCATCTTTCTTTGAATTCTTATATGTCATTTCATACAGAGCAATAACATTCTATCACAACTGTATTCTACAGTCTATTCAGTCATTCTCCAGTCTATGGATACTCATTTTGTTTATGGTGCTTTGTCACCAAAAAAGTTTGCCAGTTGCTTTTTCTAACCAGGGGAGGCTATGGCACGAGGATGAAGGTTCCAGTTCCAGCTCTGCCACTTGCTACTTGTGTGATATTAGGCAAAGTCACTTAATCTCTCTGACCACACCTTCCACATCTGTAAAATGAAGTGGTTGGACTAGGTTACTTTTGAGGTTCCTTCCAAGTCTAAATTTATGAAACTCTATATAGGTCATATCTATCAGATTGGTAGAGATTGACTGTAAAGCATAATGACAAATATTGAAGGACTGTGGGAAAACTAGACTACTAATACAGTATTGGTGGAACTGTGAATTGGTCCAGCCATTCTGGAAAGCAATTTGGAACTATGGCCCCAAAGTCACTAAATTATATTTTCTTTGACCCCCACAATAACCCTACTAGGTCTATATCCCCAAAGAAATCAAAGAAAGAGGAAAAGAACCCTTATGTACAAAATAATTATAGTGGCTCTTTTTGCAGTAGCATCTATTGGGGAATAGCTAACAAATTATGGTATATTAATGGAATGGAATGTTACTTTGCCATAAGAAATCACAAAATAGGCATTTTCAGTGAAACCTGGGAAGACCTATATGACCATATGTATAGTAAAGTGATCAGAACTAGGAGAACAAGTTATATAATAATAACAAAATTATGAGACTTGAAAATTTATCAAAGTAATGACCAATTGTGATTTTAGATGACTGATGATGAAGTATGCTACAGATAGAGAGGGGATGGACTCAAGATACAAAATAAGACATGAATTTTCAGACATAGCCAATGCAGAATGGGTTTTGTTCAGTACAAATATTAGTAGTTGTGATGATCTTTTTTATCTTATTTTTATCTTATTAGTCTTTAAATTGCATCATCTTTGACCATGGACAGATATTATATTTTAACAAAACCACATTGGCAGTGTGTGGAGAATGGATTGGAGTGGGTAAGAGACTTGAGACCTGGGAACCAGTTAGAAGACTAAGTCCAGGTTAGAAGTCATGAGCAATCTGGAATAAGGTTGTGTTTGAATAGTAAGAAGGTGACTTACAGAAGAGATGTTGTGAAGACAGAAACAATTGAAATGTGGCAACAGATTGGAGATGTGGGGTGAATCAGAGGGAGAGTTTAAAAATGTAAGCTTTCACTTCGAGCCAAGGACACTTTTAAGACTGGGCACTAATGGCTGCAAAAGTCAAATCCTTGTATTAAGGTTACCTGGTGGAAACATTCAGAACAAATCTAATACCAAGAAAGCAGTAATTTCAAGGCTTTCTGTAACAGCAACCTCTCCAATACAAGGGTACTGATTACCTTGAATGAAGTTTTTTTGGGGCAGACTAATTCTCCTTACTTCTTGTTTACCTAATTACTTGTCTTGATTACTAAGTCTATAGAATCTTACAGCTCTAAAGGCCAGCAAAGCAAGTCAAAACTTTCTTGAATTATTTTCAGGACCACACCATACACATGAAAAGAGAATAATGGACCAGGGGACAGGCAGAATAAATTTAACTCTAAGAAAAATTCTCTTATTCCCAAGAAAATTCCTTTGGTATCCATAAATAATATGAGGAAATAGGTCCTTGGAAAGATACGCTGCTCCCTCGATTTCTCCTCCCCTTTAGTTCAGAATGTTTGTTTGTTTGTATGTAGTTTAAGCTAATTTTACAAGGGTTGGGTGGGGAGGGTAGGCCTGATTAATCTTTAAGGTCCATTTTGACTATAGCAGATAGCCAAGAGACCCCTGATCCTAGGGACCTTGGAGATTCATTCAGCAAAAGAAGTGGGCACATCTCGCAGCCTGAACCAGCACTCTAGATGTGGGGGATGGGAGTTGGGGAACTGTGAGTTCTCATTTGGCGGCTGCTTCTTCTATGTTGCCAAGCCGGACAGACCCAGCAGTCAGGAACTGTCAGCTCCCAGGTGTGCTGATGGGAGGGGTCCTACATTGCTTATCATACTCTTGCAGACATCCTGCAAAACAGACAGATGGAAGGACAGGGGAACATCTCTTCCAGGAAAAGAAAAAGCAGTTAAAAAAACCCCCAAAACTCAAGCACCTCTCCTCCCCACGTAGCTACCAATGAGCTTGGCGTGTTGTAATCTCGGCTGGCTGCTCGGGTTTAGCTTTTTCCCAGTTCAAGGGGTCAAGGTCTCCTTTTAGACACTTCCTGCATGAGACCGGGGTGAATTTTCAGATCCGTCCTCTCCAGCAAAAGCAGGAGAATAAAATTCAACACAGGCACACAAACACCTTATAATTGACTCGGGTTTAAGGAGGGTACCTTTCTCCGAATGGGACATCCTCCTCTTGGACTGGTTGGCCTCAAAAAGCAAATCTAGGAGCGACTCGTGGAGAAGTCACAACGAAGGAAAACGTACTCTCCAAAAATGGCTCGGGTTACCTTGGGAAGCCGTCTTCCCTCACTGCAGATTTATCTTTAAGCGAAGGGTGCAAATTGTTGGGTGTTTGTGTATTCCTGTTGTGTCCTGTTCCTCTACGGGTTGAGCTGGACTAGTCAGTTACTGAGACCTCTTCCAACTCTGGGATATGGATCTGGGGATTGATTGCCCCTAGGAATTAGAATCGAAAGGGAAGAGATCATCTCAGCTGCCATCCAGATCTAGACCAAGCCCTCCATTTTACAGACGATGAAGACGCTGAGATTTATAAAGGTTATTTGCCCAAGGTCACACTAGAAAGTAGGGAGCAGTCCACATTCGAATCCACGCCACCATTCCCGAGTACCCGACTCTTTCTAGTTAACCACACTGCCTTTCCTGATATGCAAAGACCCAGTCACCTCGAAGCAGCTGGGGTCAAAAACCCCACGGCAAATTGTTCTGATTCTGCTTGCTTTGCCCTGTTTCATCAGTTCCTAGAAGTCTTTTAATTCCGGATTCATTTCACAAATTCATTTCACATTCTATCACAAGTGCATTCTACTATTTGTTCAGTCACTCCCCAATCTTTGGATATTCATTTTGTTTACAATTTCTTGACAAATTAGCTAGTAATTTTTCTAACCAGTCTCTTCGCTCTGCTGTAACGTGATACGGTGGGAAAAAAGGTCTGGCTTCGTATCATCCCGGGAGATGTTTGTAATGGGCGGCGCTGGGCACCTAGCAGGAGCTTAATAAAGGCTTGTTTTTAACCCCTTTCCTTTCTAGGTTCCATTCTAAGTTCTGCCACTCGCTACCCTTGGGGCTCGGGCTTTGGGGGGTTAAGAGGCGCTGGAAGGAGGGGCAATTTCTCTTTGGACGGGGCAACACCTTGTAGGTCTCTCCACCTTTTGAGGGGGTGCCCCTCGGCTTTGGAGGCTCTCTCAGCCCTGCCTCCCCCCCGGAAGATAAGTGGGAAAAGTAAGAAGACAGGCTTTAAGAGAAACTCCGTCTCCGTCCGTCTGTCCTTTCCCTAAGAATAATTTTTAAAGAGAATCCCTAGGTGTTATCACAGGATAATGACACCAAGGGCAACAACTCTTCGGGAAACGAAACACTCCCATTCACGAGACGTGGGAGGTGGATCGGGAACGTGCGACCCGCGCCCGCACCGCCCAACTCCTAAGAGCGTACGCCACCGGCGGACGAATTCATAACAATCAATGCACTAGCACGCGCAGTGACTCGAACGCTGCGCCGAAAGGTTCCGCCCTGCCCTGCTCTTTGCGTCTTCGACATACTGGCAGACAGATTCCTCCGCGGCCCCGCCCCTCCTCGCGTTGGCTTGCAGCTACCCATTCCTACGCGGCCGCCGTGCGAGGCCGATCCTGTGGGGGACGGTGGCTGGGCGAATCTCCACTCTGAGCGCCGCCTGTGCTTCTTCCTCCGAGCCCGCGGGGTCGCTGTGCCGCGGCACGAGCAGGGAGTCCCCGGCAAATTGATTGGCGGGCGGGGGTCGGGGGAGCCGCGTCGCCGGCGCCTGAGCCAGATCCCAAGCTTGAGCCTGAGCTTGGATCTGCGCCTGCGCCTTAACCGCGGCCCGGGCGGCGGCCCCGGTGGCAGCCCCAGCCCCGGCCCCCTACGGAGGCGGCCGCGGCGCGATGGCGGCCTCGGTCTTCTGCTGCTTGCGCTGCTGCGGCGACGCCGGGACTGGCCACATCCCGCTGAAGGAGATGCCGGCCGTGCAGCTGGACACGCAGCACATGGGTAAGGAAGGCCAGCCCGCGCTCCTGCCCCCCCATCGCCCTTTGGGCCAAAAGGGGCTGGCCCTGTTCCCCCCTGCCCCGCAAGGTGCTCGGCGTTCGAGGCTGGAGCGCGCCCCCCCTCCTGCTGTCGGGAAAAGCCTGGGTCTCTGTTGCCTGGTGGATTTCCCCCCCTCTCCTTCCCCCCCCCCCAGCGGGGTCTGGCTCTAGTGGCAGGTGAGGAGGTCAGAGGTCGGCTAGGGCGAGCTTCCAACCGAGACCCTGCGCCTGTTTTCAAAGGGTTAATAATCTGTGCCCTGACAGGCCGTTGGTCTTACCCGTTTGTGGAATGAGCCGTGCTGGTGTTCTCGATATTTTCACCTGCTCCCGAAGTCAGTCAAGTCGGCAAGCATCGATTAAGTGCCTACGGTGTGTGTGCCAGGCACTGGACTAAGCAGCTGGGGATACAGAGAAAGACACGAGACAGTGGGGGGAGGTAGTATACAAACTACTTAGAAACAGGATCGAGACAGGATAAATTTGGGGGTAATCCGTGGAGAGAAGGCGTTTGTGAATAGTCCCTGCCCTCAGGAAGCTCACAGTCTAATGGGGAAAACAACACGCAAACAGCTAAGTGCAAGTTATATGTGTGTGTGTGTGTGTGTGTGCATGTACACACGTACATGCATGCGCGAACACACGAACGATAAATTGGCGATAATCAGTGGAGAGAAGGCACTCATAAATAGTCCCTGCCCTCGAGAAGCTCAGTCTAATGGGGAAAACAACACGCAAACAGCTAAGTGCAAATAAGTTATATACAGGACACATGAGAGTTTTTGGAATATGCAGAATCATTCAGGAAGATGCTGTTCTTTCCTTCTAAGGATTTAACGTGAAAAGCTGAAAAAAACTGATGTATTCGTAATAGAAGCCATTTCCGTATCTGATTTTTTGACTGTTGGCCCTCCTTTAGAGCCCTCCGTTTATTTTCCACCCTGTTCATTCTCATAATTTCTTCTTTCTCTGTTTACTTTGGTTTCATGCAACCTTCCTCTCCACACCTTTTGATTTAATTTTCCCACTCTTAAGGTTTTCATAATGTTCTATCCACTAAACTCCACTTCATCTTTCTCTTAATCCATTCTCTGAAATGTCACATCATTCAGTGAGCCTTTCCCAATGGAGGCTAACCCATAGCTGCTGTTGTGGGTGTATCTCAAGACTCCATCCTTTATGTTCAGCTCTTTTATAATTTTCTATTTAATCCTTTAAGTAATTTATCCACTATCATGAATTCAAATACAGTTATCTTTATGTGGATTTAACCAAATATATTTCTGTGTCTTAGATTTACTCCATCTTACACAGAACTACGTATCTCACTGTCTGTGGTAGACCTATGAGATGTCTGGCTACCTGAAATTAAACATTACAAAGACAAAATTCCTAATTTCTTTTTTTTTTTTGGCTAGGCAGTGGGGTTAAGTGACTTGCCCAGGGTCACACAGCTGGTAAGTGTCAGGTGTCTGAGGCTGGATTTGAACTTGGGTCCTCCTGACTCCAGGGCCAGTGCTCTATCCACCAAAATTCTTAATTTCCAACAAACCTTTCTCTGTTACTCTTAGCAGTAATTATCAGTCTTCTGCTTATTTCCCAGTCTTGGTGATATTCTTCTCCCTCACTCCCCCCGCCCTTCCTATACACAATAGGCAGTCTTAAATGTTTGATGATGTTTGCCACTGGAACATCAGTATTAACACCCTTCCTAGAGTTTATGCTTTAGAATATATAGGGGAGATCATGTTGTAATTAGGTGTTTTTGTTACTTCAAGGAAAGAAATGCCATGAAATGGAGTCCTTGTTGGATCCATGCTAGGCCATTTCTTTTGAGCTATTCTATAAAGTGCCGGTATAGTGTCCCATATTGGGGGTGGGGAGTTAGGGGTGAGATATTCATTTAAAACAAGAAACATTTAGAACAACTAGATGTTATTGGAGAAAGAATTTGTCAAAGATACTGGAATGTTAAAAATTGTTATTGGAAACAATAGGTGATAATGGATCTCTAGTAAACACTGTGTTTAGTTTTGTATAATTTAAAAGATGCATTTTTGTTGAGACATATGAGCAGCCTTTGTGTATCCATTGGTATCCATGGAGTATCAGGAGAACTAGAGGGAGGGCCGAGCCTGATGAGTGTCCTGAGATCTGTGGAGGATCCCACAAAAGATGTTCATAGGATGAGAAGGCATGCAGAAGTTTGGGTGTGCATCATTGGAGGGGAAAGTACCCACGCTGATGACTTCATAGTTCCACATATCTAAATATTCATAGGTTCGTTGATTTAAGAAATAGAAGAGATCATCTAATTATTGAAGTAAGGCTAAGAATGTTGCTTGCTAGAAATCAATTAGCAGCTGTTGTTTCTAATAAAAATGATATAATCTCAATATTCTTGACAAATTTTCTTAAATAATATATCAATCCCTCCCCCCGAATTTTGCTAGTAAGGAAATTGGGGGCCTACAGAGGTTAAGTGACCTTTCAGTGATAAAATAAGGTAATAGTTACGGAAGCAGATTTGAACCCAGATCCTCTGACTCCCAATCTATTATTTCCACTGTACCACACTGCCTCTATACTGACTCAGCTGATTATATACTATTCCCTGCTTGTATTTTTCTGGAGGAGTCACATCAAGAATTGACATGTCCAAATCCTGCTAAACTAGTGATAATGTAATGACATTACCAAACCCAAATTGTGGCAACATTCCATAGACATTGAGTAGCAACCATTTTCTCATTCTTACATCAGCAGCATCACATTTTTAAAAGTATACTACCCTATAGTTTTATCAGTTCTCTTCTTATTCCCAGATGCACATGCTTTTCTCAACCAACATTTAAAGAATTTACATAGTTTTACAATGAACAAGTTTCATTACCAAAATTTAACGTTTCTGAAATAAGCCTTCTATAAAATGTAATTTAAGCTAAAATATGTATTTTAAAAGAGCAAAGTACATTTAATGATGGAATTGCCAGGGTGTTCAGCTGTTCATTTTCAATATTCTGTAATTAACAGCTGTCTTAATGAAAATTTGCTAAGTTATGTGATTTTCTTTGACTGTTTAGTGGTTTACAAGCACAGATGTCTAAAGCATATTTGTCTCTAAACTATCCAGCATAACTATTGGCTTGAAAAATTAGGCTTATTAACAACAACACATGCCTTAGCATTTTTTTGAGCTACATGTATTAGTTTAAATTAAATTATTTAAATGATTGGCTGACAACTGGGTTTATATAGCTTATTTTTACTCCAAAAGATTTTATAAGTATTAAATATAATTTAGGGAGAATCTCATTAATTTTATGTGATCAAAATTAAATAATATTTTGGTTTCTATCAACAAGTGACTTACATATAAAAGTTCAAGTGGGTATGTTTTCTGTCTCTTCACAGCGTTATAGAATTGTTTTTCTAATGGCTGATTGAAATGGAAAGCATAATTGCATAATGTTTTTAAATGACTAACATGTTTGCATTTTTATTTAGGAACAGATGTTGTCATTGTCAAAAATGGAAGAAGGATATGTGGGACAGGAGGTTGTTTAGCCAATGCACCTTTGCATCAGAACAAAAGCTACTTCGAATTCAAAATCCAATCCACAGGTTGGTTAAGTTGTATTCTATGGAAAGCCCTAAATATTGAGAATAATTATCAATGTAGGCAATAGAGGATTTTTTTTTTGGCCTGTAGGATGAGTACATTGATCATTTTCTTTGATCAGGGACATGGTAAAGGTAAACATCAGGTTTATAAAATGCTTTCCGCACAACCATAGGGCATGAAATAGTCCCATTTTACAGATGTGGTAATGTCATACTTTTGTCACTGAATACAGTGACCCTCATGAACCTAAGTAGGACTTAACTTTTTGCAGCTCTTGTTAAAATACCCTAAAACAGTCAATTTAGGATTATGACAGAATTTGGAAAACTTCATCTCTCAGTATAGGGTTTGGTTTTTTAAAATTTCAAACTACTTTTACCTAAATAATTTTCATTATGGCTATAGTGACTTACAACAGTATTGTACTTGGAGAAGGGCAGCATGATTAACATTTTCTATTAGTCTTTAAGTTCTCTTGGACCTCTTATTTAAATTGGATCTTTGATCACATGCTATATAATTCTGCTCCCAGTCACAGGTTGTATATGTATATATCACAGAGATAATTGTCTGATGTTTGTTTTCAAAAGTTATTTTAAGATAGGGAATTCTTTTTTTTATTTTAAAAATTATATTTTTTTCCAATTACGTGTAAAAACAATTTTTAAAGTTCTTTTTTTAAAAAAAATTTTGATTTCCAAACTCCTCTCTCCCATCCCACTTCATTGAAAAGGCAAGCAGTTTGATGTAGGTTGTATACATCTTATGAAACATATTTCCATATTAGTCATGTTGTGAAAAAAAAACAGACCAAAAAAACCCCCCACACACTCAAAAAATAAATTAAAAAAGTATGCTTTGATCTGAATTTAAATTCCACAAGTTCTTTCTCTGGAGATGGATAGCATTTTTCATCACAAGTGCTTTGGAATTATCTTGGATCTTTGTGTTGCTGAGAATAGCTAAGTCTTTCATGCTTGGTCATTGTACAGTATTGCTATTGCTGTGTAGACTGTTCTCCTGGTTCTGCTCATTTCACATTGCATCAGTTCATGTAAATCTTTCCGGGTTTTTCTGAAAGCATCCTGCTCATTGTTTCTTATAGCAAGTATTCCGTCACAATAATATACCAAAACTTGTTGAGCTGTTCCCCAGTTGATGAGCATCCCCTCAATTTCCAAATCCCAGCCACCACAAAAAGAGCTGCTATGAATATTTTTGTACAAATAGGTTCTTTTCCCTTTTTTCATCTCTTTGGGAAACAGACCTAGCAGTGGTATTGTTGGATCAAAGGGTATGCATGGCTTTGCATGGCTTTATAGCCCTCTGGGCCTCCTTCTTTATTCTCCAGAATGGTTGAATCAGTTCACAACTCCATCAACAGTGTCCCAATAAAATATGGAATTCTTAGAGTGTATAAAATAAATCTAAATCTAGACATCATCTCTTTTTTAGGTTTTGTTTTGTCAGTTGGCTACTTGTGCCAAAATGCCTTTTACTCCTCACTTATCTCTTTTAATTAGATCTGTTTTGTTTTTGCTTTGTCTGAGATCATGATTGCCACCCCTACTTTTTTTTCACTTAAGCTGAAGCAAAACAGATTCTGCCCTAGCCCCTTATTTTAACTCTGTGTATGTCTTTCTGTTTTAAGGTGTTTTTTTTTTGTAAATAGTATATTGTAGGATTCTGATTTTTAAGCCCCTCTGCTTTCCATTTCTGTTTTATGGGTGAGTTCATCCCATTCATATTTCACAGGTATAGTTACTAACTATATTTCCCTCTATCCAATTCCCTCCCTCCCCATTTATGCTTCTCTTTCTCCTTTTGCCCTGTCTTTCCTCAAAAGTGTTTTGCTTCTGACCACTGCCTTCCCCAATCCACCCTCTGTCAGGCTCCCTCCTTCTCTTTTCCCTCTCCTCTCCTCTCTTACTTCCTTGTAGGGTAAGGTAGATTTCCAAATCTGCATATGAGTGGGTATATTATTTCCTCTTTCAGATAATTCCAATGACAGTAAGGTTCAAGCATTGCTTCCCCACTCCCTTATCTTTTCTTCCACTTAAAAGTTCTTTTGTGCTTCCTTTATGTGCAATAATTTACCCCATTATGCCTTTCTCTTCCCTCTTCTCCTAGTGTATCCCTCTTTCTTACCCCTTAATTTTGTTTTTTTGTATATCATCCTGTCACAGTCAATTCACCTCTGTGACCTCTGTCTATGTGTACTCCTAACTGCCCTAATAATGATAAAGTTCTAAGGCATTACAAGTATCATCTTCCCATAAAGAAATGTAAACATTTTCACCTTTTGCTGGGTAAGTGATTCTTGGTTGTAATTCTAGTTTCTTGGCCTTCTAGAAGATCATATTCCAAGCCCTCTGATCCTTTAAGGTAGAAGTCAGTGTTATCCTGACTGTGGTTCCACAATATTTGAATTACTTCTTTCAGCTGCTTGTAGTATTTTCTCCTTGACCTGGGAGCTCTGGAATTTAACTATAATGTTTTTGAGAATTTTTCCTTTTGGGATCTCTTTCAGGAGGTGATTGGTGGATTCTTTCAATTCTATTTCACCCTCTGGTTCTAAGTTATCAGGGCAGTTTTCCTTGACAGTTTCTTAAAAGATGAGGTCCAGGCACTTTTTTTTATCAAGGCTTTCAGGTAGTCTAATAATTCTTAAATTATCTCTCAATCTATTTTCTGTTTGTTTTTTCAGTGGGATAGTTCACATTTTCTTCTATTTTGCAATTCTTTTGATTTTGTTTTATTGTTTCTTGGTGTCTCATGGAATCATTAGCTTCCAGTTACCCAATTCTGCATTTTAAGGAATTATTTTCTTCACTGAGCTTTTGTATCTCCTTTTCCATTTGGCCAGTTCTACTTTTTAAGGAGTTCTTTTCTTCAGTGAATTTTTGTACCTCTTTTACTACTTGGCCAATTCTGTTTTTTTAGGTGTTACTTTCTTCAGCATTTTCTTGTTCTTCCAACCTCTTGACTTTCTTTTCATAATTTTCTTACATCACTCTCATTTTTTTTCCAGGTTTTTCCTGTAGCTCTCTTACTTGATTTTTAAAATCTTTTTTGAGCTCCTTCAGGAATGCTTTTTGGGCTCATGATCAATCCACATTTTTCTTTGAGGCTTTGCGTCTTGCTGTTTTGACTTCGTTGTTTTCTATTGAGTTTGTGTCTTAATCTTCCTTGTCACCATAATAACTTTATATGGTCATGTTCTTTTTTTGTTGTTTGCTCATTTCCAGCCTATTTCTTGACTTTGAACTTTATATTAAAGTTGAACTCTGCTCCCAGTGTGTAGGAGGCACTACCCCAAATTTCAGGTTTCTTGTGCTGCTGTTTTCAGAGCTAGCTCTAGGGGTCTATAATGTTTTGGTTTTTCCAAGGTAGTATGATCTAAGGAGAGGTGTGCTTACTGCTCTTCTGGCCTGTGCTTTGGTCTGTGAACAACCACAAGTCCTCTTTTCACTCTGGACCGAGTTGAGGGTCCTTACCCTTGCTAATGTTCCTCCTCCCCCTGGGGCTGTGATCTGGAACTGCATATGGGCAGTGTGACAGTCCTGCACCCAGTGCCAGCAAAGGGTCCCCTGTAATCTCCATCTGACCAATTGTTGGTCTCCCTTACTGTCTGTGGGCTGACAGCTCCAGGGCTCAGTTGCCCAGAGAACCTGCTGCTGTCTTGCCAGGGGTGGCCTGTGCTGGACAGTTCTCTAGTATCCCAGTGAGAAGACCTTCCCTGCTGACTTTCCAAGTTGTCTTAGGCAGGAAAATTGTTTCACCCAGTCCTTTTGTTGGTTCTGCTACTGCAGAATTTATTGTGAGGTGTTATTTTAAAGTTGTTTGGAGGGGAATTTGGGAAAGCTCAGGCTAGTCCTTGCCTTTACTCCGCCATCTTGGCTTCACCTAGCTGCAAAATGCCTTTTACTTACTTGAAGCTAAGACTTATTTTGAAAATATTCAGTGTGTATTCAGATATCATATAACTCATTACATTCAAGGTATTAGGTACGATTCCATGCCATATAAACTTTGTAATTCATTCACCTCCTCCTCGTATATTAATACTTATTTCAATACTCTAAGCATTTGTGGTTTTGTTGACTGAATGCTCTGACCTGACACAGGTGTAACTCTGCCCATATATTGCAGTAGATGCCCTTTGTGCATTGCTGTGGCTGTAAAAAAACCTGTCTCCAGCCTTGTGGCCTTTTGAGCCTCTCCAAATTGAGGTTGATTCATAGATTGTAGACGTAGGATCCTTTGCCCATGCCAGTTTGGTAGACATGGCTAAAACAGCATGTGCTTAGTGTTTCAGAATTCAGTTATCTCTCTGATGCGTTGGGGTGAGATTTCAGTGGTGAGATGATAATATGCTGGGTGGCAAATATTATTTTACTATATACAGTAGGAGAAGGTGAGACAGGAACTAAGGATCAGAGGGGCAGAGCTTGAAACAATTCCAGGTTTGCTTGTTTTTTAACTGGTCTGAATGTTTGGTTACACTTCCTAGACCATTGGTTCTGAATCTGTTGGCCATGGAGCCATGGGGCCCTCAGAATTATTGTGAGGAGTTTTCAAAGCCGTATAAGAATTCAGCATTATCTTTTGTTTTAACCCAAATTTTCAATGATACAGGTTTATTTTTACATCTGCTTCATTTCCTAGTATATCTCTTTCCATCTCTCCAAATGCTATCCCTGGTTAATTCAATAAAAGCATTCACATTATATGCAGTGTTTGACACTCACAGTCCTCTGCCTTTATGAAGAAAGAAGGGAGATGCATTCTTCTGTCTGTTCTTTAGAGTTAAGCTTCTTGGTCATTATAATTTCACAACATTCATTTGAAATATTTTGTTGTTCTTTTCATTTACATTATTATGTTCATTGAGTCATTAGATGCATTGTTTCCTTATTTCTGCTGTCTTCATTCCAGTTAATGTAATTCTCTCCATGTGTATTCTTCATATTCATAATTTCTTACAGTTCTGTACTTTTATATCATATTTATATATGCCAAAATTTTTTTTAACCATTTCTCAGTCAATGGACATACACTGTTTCTAGTTCTTTGCTACCATAAAAAGTTAAGCATCATCATTTTGATCTTTATTTTAGTTCTAATATTATATGTAGTGTAGGTGCAGGTGCTATCGTGGAAGTCTGCAGAATTATTTTAAACTGAAAGGCTGAAAACCATTGTTTTTAACCACAGTACAAGCATTTTTTTTCTGATTTTTTTGTTGAATAGGTTTTTTGATACTTGAGATTTATTGAGATAATATATTGTTTAATTTTTCAAGATATTATTTCTTTCAGAATGAGTGCACCTGAAAATTTGACCCATTTCCACATTTTTATTCTTCAGTTCATTGAGTTATTTCTATTCTTATGTTCTTAGGGATCTGGGGCATTGGAGTTGCAACTCAGAAAGTTAATTTGAATCAGATTCCACTTGGCCGAGATGTTCATAGCCTTGTGATGAGGAATGACGGAGCCCTCTACCACAACAATGAAGAAAAGAATAGGTTGCCTGCAAACAGTCTTCCACAGGAGGGAGATGTAGTGGTGAGTTTCCTTATGAAATTTGTTTTCAAAATAATTATATTTGAATTACTTTTGAGATGGTTCATATTTTTTTTCTGAGGAGATTATATTTGAATGCCAATACTCAGTGATAGTCTAGCAACCTACGGCACCTATGCCAGAAATAGTAACTGTGCTGTTTACTCTTCTCCTGCTAACCTTACCCTGTTGCCTTTAAGATTACTCTTGGCCATGAGTCATTGGCACAAACTGCTCCCTGTTTGGGAGGATCAGTGGCAGGTTCTGACATGTATTGAATAGCCTTATCTGTCCCTGGCATTCTTGAAGGAAAGGAGCAGAACCTTGCCAGAAGATTTTACAAAGGTTGTACACCCTTGTGTTAGGGTGTTATATAAGTACTTCTGAGACTGGGAACTTGTTTAAGAAATATTTGTGTGATTTTGCTTTATTTGCATCTACAAGATTTTATTTAATTTGCTTAACTACCATCTTTTAGAGAATCATACTGGTTTACCAGAGAAATTGATCTTCATAGGATTAAAATTCCCTTCATCAAATTTTCAGAATTGTGTAAAAACATAGAATTATGATTTCAAAACTTGACTATATTTACAATTGTTTTGTTGTAAATACAAACCCAAACTATTTACTGTTGTTAGTGTTTTCTCTCCTTTACAACTATTTCTAGTTAATATTTGGTATAGATTGTTTTATAGTTTGGAGCTATTAGGAGCAGGCTCCCTAGAGCAGGGACACCCGTATTTAAAAAAGATTTAAGACCATCCTTGTATTTTGTGCTCTACTACAGTCATAAATATTAGCTTGATAGAAACATTTAGTAAACAAGGCAAAGTTTACAGCAAAGGCAATACAGGTAAAGTAAATTTAAGAAGAACAAAGTATGGAAACCAGTTTAGGGTAGATGCTGTTTACTCCATTTTGCTGTTAACTAAAAGCTGTTTTTAAGTCTTATAAAGGCTTTGAAATTCTTTTTTTAAAGAAAAAAGGTGGAAAAAAGGGTTTTTTTTTAAAAGAGATGGAAGGTTTTAACTATTTCTAAATATCTGCTTTTCCCAGTTTCCCCATTTAAATGTTATACAGTAATTGGTTCTGTGTTTGGGTTTCGTTTATCTAGATCATTGCCAGATGTCCACAGCATGGAACATCCTTTCTCAATTGGTTATTTTTTAGGAGACAATCTTGAAGTTAAATGGATACTGTCAACCTGTTTAGACTACAAAGATGAAGTTAAAACATAAGAAAGGGTAATAAGTAACAAATGTTTTTCTTTGTTGACTCATTGAACCTTATCCTTAACTTGGTCTTGCCCTCCTGTCTTTACTCCCTTGCCATGAAAGTCACGTTCTGAAGCTGCGCTGACTGACATCACAGACTGCCAGATTTAACCAGCCATTAGTGAGCCAATCAATACGATCAAATCAGACCTTGAGCTTTTGTGCCAGTTTGGATAAAAGGAGGACCAATGAAGATCAAGTGTGTGAAGGGTCAAGGAATTAGAGTAAAACATTTGTTACTTGTTATCCTTCCATGTTAGGGTAACTTCATCTTCATACCCTAAATGTTTGTAATAGTTAAGAACAAATTTTACCAAATTGCCAACAGTAGCATAGGAAAAGTAGAATGGATTGCAGGACCAGAAAAACATTTTCATATGTGGACAGTGTTTTAGCTTATGTACTTTGTTCTGCATCAAGTTCAAGAAAACTGAGCATTCTGTATCTGGCCAAATGAATTTCAGAAATTTATTTCTACGGTGTTCAGTCCTTAAGACCTCTGCTATAGGCACTCAAGGTGAGGTTCCTTAGGCTTATTGTTTTCTGTCTTGTGTATAATTTTTGAAGAGTAGAAGTTTTATTCTAAAAATGTGTTTTCAATTTCATTTTGAAGAATTTTTATTTATGATTAGCATTTATGTAAAATTTTCACCAAAAATTTCTATGTAATCGATGGTGAAGCTGAAGCGTATGGAGTGGAGCTGTTTTTTGTCAGTGATGTCAGTGTCAAAATGCTTATAGACAGAGAACTGATTTAGATAAATACAAAGGTTCTGTTTTTATTTGGGGGAGAAGTGAGAGGGAATAAATAAATGCTTGTTAATTGAAAAATAATCATAATAATAATTTTTTAAAAGAATTGGCTTAGACTCAGAAATACACTTCTCACATTCTTATCCCCCTTTTTCCTATGGTGTTGTGATATTTGTTCTCACTTTATAAACTTGGGTTTGTGAGGCTAGCTCTCCAGATTCTGTTTATTTCTTAGCTGCTTTGCCTACAGTTAGGCAGTGCTGCCACCATGTGGACAGTGGTTTTATTGTGACCTCATTCTGAACAGCTAGGCTTCTTATACATGTAAAAAGAACGGTGTGCTTTTCCATTCAATTATGCTTTTTATATAAAAGTAGAATTCTTTATGAAAAAAAGTTAAATGTGACTGGCTATCTCTAGTTATTACTACTAATTAATCACATTTAAATAGGTTATGTGCAAACTAAAATTAAGTTTAATACATTCTCAGCATAGTACTGAGATACAATTAAGTATGTTTTTCACCAAGCAGTCACTGCTCACTCTGAGATTTGAGTGATAACACTTCTTTCTGCTGTACTTTGAGTCTCTTCACTTGGAGTTTGATTCCAGAAGCAGATTCCAGGGGTGGCAGAAGTCACAGTCTGCTTTTCCTTTGGCTGCTAGTCCTTGGTATACGGTCTGGATTAGGCAAAAGGTAGGCGGGGCCATGGCGTCAGCTTCTCGCACTGTAGGGCACCCACCATAGGATTCCCTTTAGGCAGCCCCACAAGACAACTGCCAATGTGTAATTTGGAGAGAAAGGCCATGAGGGGAGGGTTCTTTCTCGTGGTTTGCCAGGCAGATTTCCATTCCTGCCCCGACTCCCATCTGGTATTTGTGTTCTGAAGACAGTTGGTCGTTTATCAATTAGTTCTTCTCTCCAGAGGAGATAAATGACTTGTTTTTAAAGGGGACCATACCTCTTTCTTTTTAAAGGACCAGCATCTCTTTCCAATTACAAGAAATTCATGCTAATAAGAGCATAACTTGTAAAAACTTTTAATAACAGAAACATTTAAAGGAAGCATAAGGATTTTGAAAAAAGCTAAGACATTTTTTCCAGCAAATGTATTTAATCTACATTTAACAGGTAGTCATAAAAAAATCCCTTTTATGTGCATCATTTTAAATGAATTTACTTAGAAGAAAATACTTTTTAGTTACTCCTGTGATTATAGTTTTTCTGGAAACAAAGTTTAAGATAAAGTTTAATTTTTTCCTTTCATCTTCTAGGTAATTCCTGCTTTTTCTCTTTATAGCTTTAGAATTTTCCCAGCTTACTTTGAACCATATAAGCTTTGTAATAGAGGTGATCTTTCTGAAACTAATACTAATTTCAGAAGACCTGAATTCAAATTCCAGCTCTTATATTCACTATCTGTGTGACTCTGGGCACCTCTTGTGGCCTCAGTTTCCCTGTCCATAAAATGTCAGACTAGATGGCTTCTCATGTGCCTTCTGGTTCTGAAACGCTGATCCTGTGTTCGTAATTTTAATTCACTTTTATTTGATGTTTTAAACTTTACAGAGCACTTTCTTCATGATCACCTTATGAGGAAAGTTGTACAGTTATTATCAGCCAAGTTATATATATGAGAAAATTGTGTTAGTGACTTGCTTTGGGCTACACAGGCAGGAAACGTCTGAAGTTGAATTTTAGCTATCTCCCCTGGCTCGTCATGTCCTTCACTTTCCGCTATACCACGTTGCCTCTAAGCAAAAAGAAGCACCAGTGGATGTGTTAGTATAACAAATTGAGGTGCACAACAGCATTTGTAATGCTTTAAAAACATGAAGAGGTGATACACTACAATGGTGACAACCACAATGAGTATTGCCCACTGGAAATCATGGAAAGCACGGAAAGCAATTCATTTTCAGCTTGAATTAAAAAAGATCTCTCTACTTGTTTATTACTTTTATGTTATTTTTAAGAGTACAAAGCACTAAAAATTCACATTATGTAGCTACTTTGCTACAATTTAAACTGTGTATTTGATATAACTATTATGATTGTTTTGTGTTTTAAACCAATTTTAATGTAATCAACTTGTTTTATTCAAGTAGATAAATTTATTCTCAGACTTTGTAATCCCTAATGAAAGCATTAGTGATAGACTCTCTGGGCACGTGACTCTTTCTTGCCTGGTTTTTTGTATTTCTGTGCCTGCCTCCAACAAAGATGTAGTGTGTTTTCTGGAAGATGCATTTTTTGTGGTGATGAGAAAATACATCCCACCGCTTTCAGCTTGATTATAAAAGATATACTTGTTAGAGCTATTGTTTATTAAATATTGTCCATTAAAAGACTTTAAAAATTTCTGCTTTACTCCCTAGGGTATTACATATGACCATGTAGAATTGAATGTTTATTTGAATGGAAAGAACATGCACTGCCCAGCATCAGGCATACGAGGGACAGTGTACCCTGTCGTATATGGTAAGCTCAGAATCCAAATTTCCTTTCAGCTTTTTGTTGTCATTCAGTCTTTTCAGTCACTTCCAGCTCTTCCCGACCCCATTTGGGGTTTTCTTGGTGAAGATACTGGAGTGGTTTGCCATTTCCTTCTCCAGCTCATTTTACAGATGAGAAAACTGAGGCAGACAGAGTTAAGTGACTTGCTCAGGGTCACATAGTTAGTAAGTGAGGCCAGATTTGAAATCAGGTCTTCCTGGCTCTGGGCCCAGTGCTCTGTCCATTGTCACCTGCCTGCCCTTTTTGTTTAGCATTTGTATTAATTTTCATAACAGTTGTGTTTCATATGTATAAGTTGTATAAAGTATTCAGTAGAACATCTTGATAAGCATTTAAAGGATTTCATTTTTCTAGATTTGTTTTCTCTGTAGATTAAAAATAGATAATTCTCCTGCAGTATTTTCCAAGTACAGTAACTGTGCTTGAATTTATAATCAGATCCCCATATTTAATACCTCATATTCTTTTCTTATTTTTAAAGTCTAAAGGCATTTGTTAAATTATTAGTAAGAATGCAGCAGCCATTTTACAGGACCCTAATGATAAAATATTTGCACAGTAATTTGGGACAACCTCAGAACAAAGATTTTTTTTGGAACTGGGGGTGGGGCTTTCACATAGACAAGGCTGCAGTTACCAAATAGTCTCCTTGAGAGTAAATACAGGGTGTCCCAAAAATCTTTGTGCTTTAACATTGCTAGGACTTTTGGGACACTAATATAAATTTTTCTTGGAGAAACTAAGAAATTGAATGTTAGGTTACATTGGTTATTTTGTATTTGATAGCAAGGGAAATTGGTTTTTTTGCTCTAGCTTGTTGGATTCTTGGTTCACTGCGGTAGATCATGAGGTGACAGGCAGAAAGTGAAATTAGGAGATAGGATTCACTATTTCTACAAGTGTGCCTGTCCCTGTACTGCCTGTGGCTTTCTTACTTATCTAGATTTCGTGCATTCAGGAACATTATAATCACTCCAGGCATTTATGGGCCTTCCTTTGACCTCAGAGTGTGCTCAGAGTAAAGGATTCTTTTCTCCTTTCCCCTCCTTTTTCCTTTCCCCCTCCTCATTCTTTACTCATCCTCTCCCTTTCCCATCCCCTCCACTTCCCTCCCCCTCTCCCTGTCATCCTTCTCTCTTTCCCCTTCTGCCTTTCTCTTGCCCTCCTCATCTCTCCCCCCTGTTCCCCTTTCACTTTTCTCACTTCACTGGAGGGAATGAGAGGGGAGAGAAGTAAAGAAAAAAGACACTTAAGGATACCTTAAAATTCTTTTGCTTTAGAATCATAACCCCGTTCCTGAAGCATGAACCCTGTCACTGACAAGTGGTCATCCAGCTTCAGCCTCAGAACTTCCCACGTCAGGGTGTACACTGCTCCTGAGGCATCCCGTTACGGTTTTTAATGGGACATTTCTGTCCTTTCATTGAGCTGAAGGCTTCCTCCCTATCATTCTATTCATTAGCCCTCATTCTGTCTTCTGAGGCTGAACCAGTTAAGTCTAAATTCCCTTTCTTTGTGGCAGCCCTTCAAGTATTCCCGAATTCTTCTAACTGATCCTACACCCATCAGAGGAATCCCCACTACAGTCAAACAAGTGGTCAAGTCTTTTCTTGAAGATTCCAGTGAGAGGCAACTTGCCACCTCCCAAGGCAGCACATTTTGCTTTTGGATAGCTCTGATTGTTAGGAAATTGTTAGACCTCAAGCCGAACTTTGCGCCTTTGAAATTTCCATGCATTTCCTAGTACTGCCCTCTGAGGCCACACAGAAAAACTGTAATCTCTTTACCACAAGATAACTTTAAATATTTGAGGACAGCTGTCTTGTGTGTGTGCCCAGTCTTCTCTCCTGCAGGTGAAATATCCACATTTCTTTCCAATCTTCCATCTGCCATGGACTCAACCAGTTCTGGCTGCTGCCTCTGGAAGCGACATAGGAGAAATAAGGAGTTGGACAGTTCTGCTTTTTCTCTCTTGTTATCAGCACACCAAGCATCAGACCTGTCCCTTTTCCCCATTTACCCCATTAAAGCTTTAAAACAGAAAACCTGTCCTTCTATTATCCTCAGCTTTCCCCACCAAGGTCAATTCATTCTGAGCTTTGGCATTCCTAGCACTATTTTTATAGGGCCATGTCATTCATAATTTTATAAATTCATTCTCTGTTATCTGCTCTAACTTTCATCTGGTGTATATATCTTTTAAAAATCTAATTTGGTTGGTGAGTTTCCTATGCAACCGTATTTGTATCTTCAGACAGCTCCCATTTTTCTTCCTCAATATTGTTTCACATTGTGCTTTGAAAATTTCATTCTTGAGAGTTTTCTATCCCTCCTATACTAATTTCCCTTGTAGTATTTTAGTCCATTTAGTCTCTGTTCTTCCTCTTAACCTATGAAATCCATTTCCCCAAAATGTTGATTACGTGGGAGACTGTGCCTGATTTTTCTCTCCTTTATCACAAACTTTAGGATGGAATGATCACCCCCAAAGTTCCCTAGCAACAATTTCCTCTTTTTAAAATTAATATCTTTTGTTTCCACATGGCCTAAATTTCCACCTCTCTCATTTTCCCTTCTCCGTCCTAGAGAGCCATCCAGTTTCTCCATTTTAGGGAGCATTAGATCCAAAGTAGGATTACCCCTTGTTGTTTCCTCTGCTTTTTGAAAGATAAAAGTATATCAATAAAAGCACTTTTAGCAGAGACCAAGCTCCAGCAGATGTCTGAACAGTTGAAGCCCTCCATCACTATTATAGCATGCCTCTGTGTCAGACATGTGATCTGTTTTCTAAAGAATTCCTTTATTTCTCTTTTGTGTCCTAGTAGTCTGTAGAATACGGTGAAGGCAAAATTGCTTCTGTTCTCCCTCCGTTGAGCTTTACTTAAATGCTCTCCACCAAGTTTTCCCCTTCCTGGTCACTGAGTTTGATTTAATATATTTTAATATACATTCCAAATGTACAATACCCCTGCCTTTTTTCAGGTGTATTTACCCAGAGGCGTACGTAGTACAGTCATGGGTTTCATTCCACTGAATTTCAGTGGAACTTACGAAATAAAATTTGGTTTCTGTCAGACCTGCTTTCTCTTGTTACATTTCTGTGTAGACGTTTGAGGCCAACTGCTTTAATACTGACTAATTTCTGAGATTCTTTATCTCTTATGAACTTCTGTGTGTCCCAGCTACTCTTCATCCTTCATCACATCTCTTCTCTTGGGCCTAGCTTTCCCCTTCTCCTATCTTTTCCATTTTAAAGCTATTTTATTAGATCTGCAAGATACCAGACAGATACATTCTTATTAGTCTCATCATTCCAGCCTGTCATTGTCTTTCCAAAAATGTGCTGCCCAGAACTCATTGAAATCATTTGTTATTGAGTTTTCAGAAATCAATTTACTAGGAATCTCTGTCTCTCTTGAAAAGGCTTCTCTTCTGCAGTTTAAAACTTTAGCGTCACATCTATCCTTTCTCTGAATTATTGATGGAAAATACAAGTAGACTGTATGGATATAAGCCTCAGGATTTTTTTTTAAACACCAACAAAGAAAGCTGCCTCTTTCTCTCTTCCTTATTCCTTCCTTCCATTCAGCACTAGAGATGGAGCCCTGTTATAGAAACCATAATCCTAAATGGGTAATGTTTTTAAAATGAACTATAGTCTTAAACAACATCAGTTGAGGTTATCATGAAATTGGAGGGACTGTACCTTGTGGAACTTAAAATACAGATAGGTTCCAAAAGGTTTTAGAAACATGGATTTTAGAGTTATGGCAGGTTAAGTGAACATCAGAAGGACTGAGAGTCCCTAACCTTCTGAGGTTAAAATAATGGGAGAAAACTACCATGCTCCTCAACACTTCCCCTTTCACATTCCCTGAATGTCCTTTGGTGCCATTTAGCTGCATGAGAACACTGGGAAGGACAGACCATGGTCTTAGCAATATGTTTTTTTCTTATGGCATTGAAAGGCAGTTCTTAAGATTGCAGGAGTCTTGATGACTGTCATTTTGAACCCATAATTCTTGGCCTAGTTACAAAAACCAAGTCAAATATTATAGTGGGCCATCTTGACTGAGGAAACAGTAAAGCGTGCTGTGAGTAAACTATTTGGGTGGTAAGTTTTTTGTCACTGTTTTACAACTCAAGGTAATAAAGAATAGTGGAAGGAATTCTTGTTTGAGCATGAGGAAACTTGGGTTCTATTCCACTGACCTTGGAGAAGTCACTGAATTTTTTGGGGCCTCAGTTTTCTGATCTGTAAAATGAAGGAATTCAATTTAATGATATCTGAAGTCCTTTCTAGCTTTGCCTCCCTGCAATTCTATGTTTGACTTATCTCTCATCATTGCCTCAAATGAAATTGCTTCTTATCTCATTTAAAACATGGCCACCAGGGCTCTGACTATCAGCTATGAAAATAGCTCTGTTCTTCCCCCTTTCCGGATGCTGGGCCTCTCCTGCTAACCAATTTCAGCTAGTACATCAGCTTCACATCATCCGTTTTTTTGTACCCTATTTGTTATCTCAGAAGGTGGAAGCCATTTTGACCCTTGGACTGATTCTAAGTACTTTTTTTCATGGCCAGTTATGAAAAAGAAGTCTATAAAAAGACCTGACAGTGAATACTAATAAAACCAAGTTCAGATGCATAAGTTGAAATTAATATGAATTCAGCTTAATTTTAAAGAGTGTAACAGTTTTTCAGCAGAGATACATAATGTGTTTTCCATGTGCTGTGTGTAGAATTCATAGCATAGATAATGAGTCCAGGCTTCACATAGTGTTCTGCAACAACTAGTTGTATAACATACCTTGGACAAGTCACCAAGACTTCTCTGGACTTCATTGTCACAGTCTTTGTAAAATCAAGATGTTTCCCCTCACTTGCCTCATAGGACTTTTTTGAGGATAAAATGAAACCATATATGTGAAAGTTCCTCGGTGTTTAATGTCTTATCTTAGCT